CGCGTTGATATTGAATTAACACCCCGCCGCCCGGCTCAAAGGCGGCTCCGCGCCCGGGCCGGCGCGAACACCATGGTGTTTGCACAAGTGATGATGGATAAGGTGGGGCGGGGCGGGGCTGGCCGGTGGAGGGGCCGTGCATGTGAGTGTGCGCGCGCGTGTGTGCACCCAGGATAATGAGGGGGTCCAGCCGGTCGCGACGCGGATTGGGGATGAAAACGTCTGACGCGGCGTTCAGGGCGTCCCGACGCCGACGAACGGCGGCGGTGGCGGCGTCCCTCCCTGTCTGTTCGCACGGCAGTTTGTGACGGCGCGGGGAGGGCGGAGGCGGAGAGGCGGGGGGCGGGCCAGACTTCCCTTTCCGGGTACACACTGCGCTGTACTCGCTACATACATTTACTGCTAACGCTAACACAAGAAGCTTTTATCGTGGGCGTCCCGGAAAGGACGGGTTCTCACAGTCGCCGCCGCCCTCCCCGTCGCCGCCGCTCCCCCTCGGCTCGGCCGGAACGCCGACCGACGCCACGCTGCAGATAGCGGCGGGCGGCGGCGACGTTGTTTGCCCTCGGCGACCTGGGGGCCGGGCGGCGGGGCACACCGGTGCAGCGGGGGCGTCGGTGACGGAGTCCCCAGCCAGAAACAGAAAGTCGAATCGACGTCGACGTTTGCTCGAAAACGCACGTTTGTCACTCCAATCGAGGTATATCAAAGTCGAAGAAATTTCCGAAATATACATTTCTGGCTGGGGTTGGACGTCGCTTAGCGTGCTCCTCCGTCGCACGGAGGTGAGTGGCGAGAGACGACCACATGGTTTAACCACCACTGTCGAATGTGAACGGGGGCGTGAACTGACGTATGATCTGGTTGACCCGCGTGGAGCGGAGACTTGGACGCGTGGGCCTCTTGGAGCTCTGTCTGAGCAGCTTCCACCCCGCGGGCGGGGGGGCTCTTGGAGCTCTGTCTCTACAGCTTCCACCCCCCGTCACCGAGACGTCCCGGTCTGCAGCCCAGGTGGCGCGCGAGTGCCACGGTGCACCGGAAGTCCAAACCTACGGGCACGCGCCTTGCACACTGGGCGAGTGAGCCCCTCCTGTCGAACCCGTGACGTGACGACGTCGAACAAACGAGAGAACGGCGCTTTTGTGGGGGAGGGTGGAGCTGGAGCCCGCCTCGTCACGAGCGGCCCCGACTCCCCTGCCCTTTTCTCCCTGAGATCAAATAGTTTGAGCTCAGTTGGCCAGTCGTGCGCTTGTATTGCATTGCATTGCCGGGTTTGAAAAGGCCGCGCCGGATCGAGCTGACGGTCTGGATCGAGTGGTGTGGGTCGCGCTCGGGTACAGGCGACATGACTGACTGGGTCACACACATGCACACACACACACGCACGCACACTGGGGTATGCAACCACCCCTACGCACTTCAAACAACCCCTCCCCTAGTGCAGCACGGCGAGCACATAGGCAAAGACGTTTGGAAAAATAACAACCCCCCCGCCCCTCGCTTTCTGTCTGTCTCTCTCTGTGCGGTAGGCACGGCTCTGGGTCTGGGTGGCGAGGTATGGGTGGCAGCTAAGTGACGCTAATGGCGATCGCTCAGGCATAAAGGGTGCGGTGGGGCGGAAAACGCGTCGGGCTGGCGTGGCGTGGCGCGGCGGGGCCAGTGCGCACGGCTGGCCGGCAACCCTTCCCGCTCGCTCTGCCTCACTCGGGAACGCGTCAAATTTAAAAACCCGAAACCGCGATAAGACGTTTGATGATAACGAACGTTCCATCTTGAAAACCCTGAGCTCTCGAAGGGCCCCCCTTGGTGCTTACGTACTTACCTGTCTTTTTGCGGTGAGGGATCGGGCCATTACTCTCGAAAAATAGCCAGAAGCAGTAAAATATTCGCGCCGTCTCCCCCCTTTTTTTTCGAATATGCATTCTTCTCGCAAGAGACCGTTCGTTATTCTCGGCAGAATACTATACTACTACTACTACAAGAAAGCAGCGCGCTGCTGAAAAGAGGCACTTGTCCTCCTGTGACCCGAGCAGAGCCCCTCCCCCGCCACGCCCCGCCCCTCCCCCCGCGCCCCGACGCGGCTATCGGCTCTATCGAAGGGCCCCTTTGTCACCCACCCCCACCTACCTGTTGTCCCGTGCCTTACCTTAGCCTTACCTGCGCGGTTCCCCGTAAGGCCCCCACCCCCTACCGCACGGCCAGCGCGCCCAGCCCCCTCGAAACAAAAGAGCAGCACCACGGGGCAGAGAACCCCTCGAGGGGCACGGGGAGGACTCAGTTTTACTCCACTGCCAAAAAAGTGTTCGAGAGCTTGCCGTCGTGCAATGCTGTTTCTGGTTACGGCTTTGTGGCCGGCTCAGGTATGTGTGTAGGTGGGGGTGGATCAGCCCGGGCCCCTCAGTCCCTCAGGCCGGCCAGCATAGTAAGCCCCCGTCCTCCGCCCCTCCACCCTCGGCCCGCGAGCCAAGCGGGATTTGTCTCCTCTGTTGTCTTCAGGTCGTCTTACTTAGGGGAAGAAGACACGACCACGACAGTCTGCAGGGGACGTGAGCTAAGATGTTTATTTTCCATCCGGTCGGTCAGCCGGGGGTTGGGTTTGTGGAATGCTCGTGTTGAAACGTGGCGTGGCGTAGCGTTGCAGCGCTGTGCAAGAGTCCCCTTCTAGCACTCTCTACAGCCCAGCTACAGGTTTGCCCGACCTGAGGGTGAGGTGAAGTAGGTGAAGCAGAAGCACAAGCACGATCACCAACACTCACCGCCCGAGCTTCGAAAACCCTTACTTTGATTAAAAGTAACTTCGTGTTTCGCGCAGCAAATTTCATTGTGTTCCACGCGGTTATCGCAGACTTGGACATTCGCTTTAGCTCTTGGAAAAGAAAGGACCCATCAAGGATCTCATGTGGAGGGCTAAGTAGACGAGGATCGCGGCGCTGTCCTGCCACCTCTCCTCTCTCCCACCTACCTACCCGGGCGCGGGCGGTACCTCCATGATGGTGTGGTCGGTTGCGCGGCGCACGACGGCCCCAACCTTGGCGCCCCTGTTTGGACGCGCTCTGGCGGCCCCCACTGGGCTGGGCGGGTCCGCGGCGCCCTGCCGTGGGGTGTTTGTCGAAGTGCCGAGTGGACTCGGGACGGGGGTCGCAGTGTACAGGTGACCTTTGGCCCTGCACGCCCCGAGCGCGACGACGACGCAATGCCGGAAGTGTAGATAAGGACGGTTAATTTAAGCCGGGGCCGTTTGTGCTGCGCAGTGCCCTGCTTCCGCCCCAACTTCCAGGAGAAAAATTAAATTAAATTTTTTGATGGAGTGTTGTGTGCAGCAACATGTTTCAAACGCGGTCGCTCGCTTCGCGAACGATTCGTGGAAGTGGGCCGCATACGTTTTGCCGGCCGCCGGCGCCGGGCGGAGCCGACAGAGTTGTTGTGCCCGTGCCACGGACCGCGGCCGGGCTCCATGCTAATTTGTGGCTCTGCTGCGGCCCGACCGCTGCTGAGCACAGCCCCACTCAGCCCCGACACAGTCTCCACGGCTGCGCCTCAGCACGCTTGTGCGTCCCTGGCGTGTACAGTATGTACGTTGCCGTGGTGTCGCAGCGGTCCACTCCGCGGGGAGGGCTATGCCGCTCAGTCAGGGGTGGCCGACGTGACGGCCCCGGGCGGGGATGACGGTGGTCTACGGGCAACACGCCTCCGGGGCCATGCAGATAGCCCGTGACTGCGCGCGCGTAGCCCAGCAGCGTGTGTCTGTCTGGCACTCTGGCATACCGTTCGGCCTATTGCGGTGTCTGCCGCTCCCTGACCACCTCCGCTAATTGTCCCAACGTGACGCACCGGCCGCGGTCCCCCTTGACGCGCCCCTCTTGGTGGCCGCGCTGGGGTCGCTCCGCTCGCGGCCCAACGGCGTGCTCCGCTGCACCCGCCGCGCTGGCCCCCCGTGGCCCCCGCGCGACCCGCGGGACACGTGACCAGGGGCGCGAGTAACACGCTGTGTACACAGAACCGGGCGGCACGGCGGCGCGCTGCCGGCGAGCTGCCCCAAGGTCGCGAGCGCGGCGCGGCGGTAGCTCCGCACTTGGTCGGCGGCGAGGTGCGGTGCGGCGTGGCGCGGCGGGTCAGGTGGGTTAGCAACAACATCTGCTTTGGGCGCGCGACCTGCCACTGCCCCGCTTGCCCCGCTTGCCCCGCGTGGGCCCGATTGAAATTCGGCTGGTTAAGTTTTAGTTCAGTTTCAAGCGCGCGAGGCGCGCGCATTTATTTCATCCATGGGGTCGGGGTGCGGGGTGGCGGCGCTGCGCCCCGCGCTCCACCCGCGGACGTGGAAGCCGCCAGCCTGGCCGCAGCCGCGCGCGGAAGGGCTGTGTGCCGCGGCTCCAGCCCGCTGGTGGGGCGGTGCCCGCGGAGCCCGTGGCGGGGGCCCAGCGCGGCCGAGTCCACTGCTGCGCCACTTTCTCCCGGACTTCAGCCCCCCTCCTCCAGCACCTCCGCGCGGTGCCCTCCCCTCGGCGGGGCTGGTGAGGCGAGGCGGAGGCACAGGTTGCAGGAGCAGACGAGGATTGCGTCCTGTTACGTGAGCGCGGGTTGAAGCGCCGCACTGAGCCTCAGTGTTTATGTTGTGCTGCTCGCTGGCCCGCGGCCCGTGGCACAAGGTTCTCGAACGGGGCATGAATGCGATGGGGGCAGAAACCTCATCTGCAAATGCTTCAGAGAACCACAAAGAGTGAAGAAATAATGATCGCATAAAGTTGATAACATGTACAGATCACCAAGCTCTCACAATGTTGACGAATAGTTTTAATCTCCGCTGTGTAGACCTTATCTTAATTTTTTTTCTGTGTCCCTTCCATACCCCGTGTGCGCGCTCCGTAGTCTCTCGCGACGTGGAGTACAGCGGCCGCGCGTGGGGTCTCTGCGCCGATGCTCCGGGACGCCTCGGGACTTCCCTCTCCCGCTCTTCCTCACACTTTTGTCTCACGCTTCGTCTCGCTCTTTCCATGTTGCAGGCGACCGAGTGTCATGTGGTGATCGAGTGGCCCAACTCCCTCATGTGCCCTCCGGGAGCTGTGGTCGAGCAGCAAGAGAAGTCGCGCCTTCACAGTAAGTGCTCACACCGAAACCATTAGAGTTTTCAATAGTTTTCATAAAGTGTGTACTAGTCATCAATTGTTTGATCTTTTTCAGACGGTATGACTACAATATTCACCCTCTTGGCAATCGCGATGGTCGGCTCAGGCATCCTGTACCTTATACGAAAGACTCTGTGCTGGTCAGGAGTTCGCAGCCGAGTAAACAGGCTCATGGGCTACAAACACTCCAGTTTGGTCACTTACCACGCGGTGAGTAGGAGCTGTAGTTAAACTGCTTTCTGCAGCCTGTTTAAGGACTGGCCAGTTAATGAGAGTTTTACTTCTCTTCTCTTTGCAGGACCCTCAAGAGGAGTGGACAGAGTTTGAGGCACTCAACGAATAAAAATGGAATAGTAAATTATATTGTTGGTCTTCAAAGTGTAAACTGTTATCAATAGATGAGCGCGACTCTCCGTTGGAAGCTAACAAGCTAAGATAGGCAAGGCATATGGATTGCAGGTGTTGGCTGTGTGTTTAAAAAGAGTTTGTTTAAAGGGGTTTGCTACCAAATGGTTTGCTGAAGTCTGGATTGACTGGTGATTGATTTCTGTGTTAAGGTCTCTAAAAGTATGAAATAATTGAAAATGTGCCGAATATCAAACTCTCTTGTGAGTTTTTTGAATTGTGATCAGTCTCATGCTATTCTCAAGACTGTCTCTACCCTCCATCATAAGTCTGATTGAGTGTTTACTCGGTGAAGATCAATATGTTCTTTGAAATGTATACTATTCTTGACTTAAACAACTAGAACCTCCCATTAGTGACTGAATACTGGGGACCTGCATTTAAATTGCTTCGTCAGATGCCACATCAAATGAGATTGAAAAATATGCCTTACTTGAGGTGTACTTAATTGCTTACCAAGAGCTTGCACTAATTTTTTTGCTCGGACTAGATGCATATCAGACATAACAACTATTCGCTGTGCCATATTGATTTTCTTTATGATTCGTTAAGTTACATCAGTTATAGTGTTTTACCTATATATATTTGTGACTTGACTTATTCTGCACTGCAGATTTGTTAATTTAGAAGATTGGCGCATATTTGTAGATGGTAGATTTGTTTTTAAAATTGCGGCAATACTTATTATGTATCCTTAGTATTTTATATTTCTAGTCATTTTATAAAATAATCATGTATGTTAAATTATTCAAAAATAAATTCCGATTATTAACCATTTGCTTTCCTGTGATTAAGTTTCTTAAATATGTATGTCACGTATGTACAGTAGTATTTTGAAATGTGATAGTCATTGCTTGTATGACAAAGTAATTTTAATGCTAGAAAATGAACAGTATCACTAGAAAGTAGGTATTCCATATTTATTATCCCTAGTGCGTATAGTTTTATTATGCAATTGAGTGAGTAGTTCCGTTGTACTTCAGCAGCACAAGGCACACTGTGGGGTGGGACTTCCCCGCTCTCTAAGTCTTCATGATGTCCTAATCTTAAAGTGTAATTGTGTTCGATAAATAAAACTTATATATCCACTATGCGTGTACCGTATTGCCCCTCGCCCCCCTAACGGCGCGTGCCTCGGTGTGTGCGCCGCCACGGCGCCACCGCCTCCTCGCCGAGGCCCTGGTCCGTCACCCTTGACGTGCGGCCGCAGGGCGCGACGCCCGGCCACAGTCTCCAGTCATCGTCACGTTGCCGACCAGCCCGGCAGACGACGCGACGCGACGCGCACACTGGCGAGGCTGGACGAAGCCACGCACCTCCGAGAATGACGCCCGCCTCTAGCCCGGGAGGTGCACGATGAGGGTACGCGACGCCCTCGCCGCTCTCGTCCTGGGGCTGTGCGTCGTCGGCGAGTGGGTGCCGGTGGCCGTCATCGACCGCGGGCCCGAGGTCCGGAGGCCGCAGGGGCCACAGGCGCAGCACGAGCAGCACGGGGCCGCAGCCCAGGCGGCATTCCCTGCCCTACAGCCGCTGCCCGCCACCGAGGAGCCCATCGGACCGCCAGGACCACAGGACGACGTCATCACCATCCGGAGGACGGTGGGCGACTCGTACTCGAACAAGAAGGGCGTCGTCGTGCCCCCAGCCGGCGACGGCAGTGCGGGCGCTGCGGAGGAGAGGCAGCGGGAGGACGACGAAATGCACGTCGACGTCGAGGTAGGCGAGGCCCACCACACATGGCCTGACATTGCACACTCCTTCGGATATCTGTACTATTGTTGGGACTGCCACCTGCCAACTTGTCCCACGGCCAGGATGACGTCGAGGTGCGGGAGGACACCGCCGCAAACCCCCCGGGCCAACAGGCCGCCGCGGAGCAGGGCGGCGCGGACGCGGCGGACGGGCTGCCGCTCGAGGAGCTCCGGGAGGCGCACCGGGCGCTGCTCAAGCAGAGCACGGCGCCCGTCAGCGGGAAGCTGGACTTCCTACGGCGGCTCAAGAACAAGCTGCTGCGACACATTGGTAAGGCCCCCGTGAGTGAGGGGGGGGGGGTCATCACGCGCCTCACGCGCCGTTGCATTACGGTCTCGGGGGCAGCTGGTGTGACGCGCGGTGGGGCGGGGCGGGGCGGGGCCAGGAGGCCAGGTTCACGGCCTCCGCGTGGTTGCCATTAACACCATGTGCATTTCTGCCGCCCCCCGCAGCCTCCCTGATGCCGCAGACGGCGATGGCCCTGGCCGGCGTCGGCGGCGGGTCCCCCAGTGGCCAGGCTGAGGGCCGCGGCCACAAGGGCATCGGCTTCCCCTCCAACGAGGGCACGCTCATGTCTCTGGCCTTCCTCGTGTTCGCCGTCTTCCTCGTCAAGGTGGTGCTGGTAAGCTTCGTCGTTCTGGTGCCCGATATGCACGGCGGAGACGGAGCCGAGTGTCGCTGACCTGCCGAACGATTTGCAGCAACTCATCTACGCCGTGCAGAACAGCCAGGCCAACGCGGCCGCCGCGGCCGGCGTGCGCGTCGCCCAGATGCAGATCCCCAGCCCGGTGATGCCCGCCTCCATGGGCACCATGATGGGCACCATGATGAACATGGTCCCCGCCATGATGCCCCCCATGATGGCGGCCATGGAGCCCGCCATGGCCATGCGGGGGAGGGCACGCCGGGAGGCGCACCAGACGGACGGGCTGCTCCGGATCACCGCCAACGTCATGGAGGCCATCGGCAGGGCGCGAGACGGGTTGGCGAGGGTGGGTGATGGGTAGCAGATGGGCAACCAGACAATGTGTGATAGAAAAACAGGACGATCTTTAATAAGTGATTTCATAATAATCAGCAAATAGTGGTACAAATCAATGCAATCAGAGAGATAGGACGTTTTGCCTTGATATGAAAAACAAAATTGTAACAAATTAATTTTAAGTCAATAAATGTAAAAACTACTGTTTTTTCTTATGTTTATCGGATATTGTGTATTTAGCATATGTCTTAGTTGGATCATACGGTTCCCATCGACTGGCTGGAAAGATATGCTTATTACGTTCATACCAGTGCCTCAGTAAAACTTTGCCTGCATGAGAGTCCTCTTTCTCCAGAGTTGCATCATTGGTCATCCTTACATCATCGTGGACATCAAAAGTAAAAAGTGGTCCACTTTTACCACGAGCCTGAAAATAAATGACTTTTGTCAGCAAATCATATGTTTATTTTTAAGATAGAAAACTTAAGTATTTTATAAATTTACCTTCGTCACAATAAAATCATAGAATGTGTAGTGATGGGGTAAAATGAGGTCCTCTTTAACATACATTAATTGGTCAGCCATCACTGTCTTTAGTTCGCTGAAATCCTTACGCAGAATCTCCAAGCATCTTTGCAAGAATTGGTAAATAGAGTTACCTGTACAGGCAAAAACAAAGGTTTTAAAAAAAGGAAATTTGAATAATTTCATCCGTTTATGATATTTCTAAATATTCGGTTCAATAAACACAAATGTTACCTTTTTTCATTCGAACTGTTCTTCTGTGACCAGAACCATCCCAATAACTGAAAGTAACTTCAATTTCTTCTTCTTTCAGTTGTTGCTGTTTAGCAGCCCATTCCTAAGATGAGAGAAAAGTTGAAAGTAATGCAAATGGATACATTATATAGCAGCATAGATATAAAATCCAATTTTTAATACCTGTCTCAGTTCCTCTCTCAATCTATTTTCTTCTTCTTCTCTTTCACGGTCTGGCAAAAAGCTTGTATCAACATCAGGATTTTTCCTAATTTTTTTCCTTGCAGGTACTGTGTATTTTTGTTCTTTCTCATCATCATTTTCTCGTTTAATCTGTTACAATACAATTATGATATATTTGAGACAACTAAGTAAACTTGCTTTTTTAATCCGCTAAGTAATGGAATTATTAAAACTTACCCCACCCGTTAATTCACCCATCATTTCATCAATTGCCTGCTTTTCATAGGCAGACATATATTCAGTCAATTCTTCATCCAGAGGCTCTTTTTTTATCTCTACACCAGATATGTTTTCTTTACTTGATGCTCCACTAGTTCCAGCTTTGGAAGGACTAGATGGTGTTCCATCTTCATCCTCTTTGCCCTCTTCATCTTCATCCTCCTCCATAGTAAACGACAGGGCTTGTATCTTTACTCAAACAAATCATGAATTAACTTTACATTCTGTCAAATGTGTAAATATGATTGAGGAGTAGTATTTACCTGTCTTTTCTGACGATCTTTTTCTGCTTGCTTAGCCTCTAAGGCTCGTTGTTTCTCACGGTCTTTCTCAGCTTGTTTCTGTGCTAATTTTCGTTCACGCTCTTTGACAATATTTTCCTGTTTGGCTTTCATTTCATCAAGGGTGACAAGACCAATGGTTGAGCTCTAGAGGAGGAGGATAAAGTTAAATTATAATTCACACAGCAAAATGAGCAACCCGTGTACAGAGAAGAGGCATACCTTGAGCTGTTGTTCAACAGCATCATAATGAGCAGCAAATTTATTTTCAATATTGCTTATTTTAAGTTCTTCTTCAATTTTTTTCTTGCGAAGCTCAATTTCTTCCAGAGCCTTCTCACGTTTCTTCATGAGATGCATTGCTCGACCTGCCTCACTGGCAGCACCCTTGTAATGAGCCATTGTGAATTGGTAAGGTTACTGTACGGAGAAAATTAAAAATCTGTAAAAGATTGAAAATGTCAGATGTCATATACACAGGAAGAAATTAGAAGGCATGTGTCATAAAACAGTCCCCGTCATACGTGTTACAGTTTTATAACGAAGGAAAACAGATCAAAATAAGTAACAGAGGGGATACAAGAAATCAAAATTTAAATTGTATTTAGACCCTTGATCTTCCTTAATGATTGAGAAACAGTAGATTCATTTTAAGGTTAAGTCGTTCATATCTTACGGAGCTATAGCTTCCTAAGATCATGGACAAATTACAGCCCACAGAAAGGTTTGGAAAGCACTCTGTGATTAGGGAAAGAGATTTCGAAAAGTGACATTACCTGAAAAATACAAAAGGCTTCACTTTTCCAGAAACTTCAAAAAATTCAAACGTCTGCAGGCGTTTGTTGAGTTTGTTGTTGTTTTTGTTTGTTATACTCTCGATTCTTGATCTCGACTCTCGATCTCGAGGACTGAGTGTCAAATGGGCCGTGAGTTTGTTTACGTTTCCGCAGTTGTTTTTAAAAATGGCGGTGCAATGGCGGCTATTTTCGGATTATCCCGAAAAATTGCATTGAAAGTTTGTTTACTGAAATGCGAGGTGTTAAAGTGGTATCCGATATTACCCACGAGCTTCGTAACAAACCAGAAATAATGGATCGAACTCGTATGTCAGCTGCCACTAGTTCTTGGTTTAAGAACTCAAGACAAATTTACAAGCCACCGGTAACCGGTTGAAGGGGTAAAGTTACCATTTTCTACTTACACCATGGATTTTCGGGTGGAATCAGCAGTGAATGCTCCCCAAACTTGCATGAATGGAAAGTGCAATCCAGTTTCTAGAGGAAATTGGTTCCTGTCGAGTAACAAAGCTTCCTCTTTAATTTTCTGGACAAATAATGGAGAGGTAAATTGTTGAAGGTATAATATAAAATCACAAGTTTTTGATGTCTTTATTAGTCATGTCTCATATCTTTTAGGTCATAGTGGACACTGAACATCAATCTCCAATTTCGTCATTATGTATTTCTCCAGCAAGTAACCCCTACATATGTTCATGTAGTGACGACAAAGTAATAATTTGGAGTCTCAATGATTTTCACTCAGAAAATAAAGAATGTATGTAAAGAGAAAGTTTACTTGCCATGATAAAATAGAGAGGGAATGACTATACATTTTGATTCCGTTATCAGTTTGTAGGAAACCAAGTAATGGTCTTCTTGTTGGGATCAGCCTGGGTACCATCAGAGACTGCTCTATAAGCTGTGACAATGAATGGCTCGCTCTTTGTAGGGAAAATGATGTGTGGGTCGTCTGTCTACAGGTAAGTGAGGAGAGATTATTTCATTACACAAATATTATCTCTGTGGCTTTAGTCTTCTTCCTGTCTAAGATGTGTTCATCTATTGTGCGTTGAAGCATGCAAACGGCATCCTCTCTGCTGTCTCACACCATAATACACTAGAACCTACTGGTGAGCCACCATCTCTTTGTTGCTTCTCTCCTGCTCTCCCAAATATTCTTGTCACCGCTGATGATTCCAATTCTTTTAAGGTATAGTATTTTTAGTACATCTATGACTTGACATTTTTTTATTACCAAGGTGATGTCATATTTTATTCTCCTCTAGGTATGGAATGTTGAGTCAGGCCTATTAGTTCAACGCTCAGCTGTTGGAGGTTGGCACCGCATATCTTACTGTGAGTTTGTGGGAAGTGGCACATACCATGGACACTTACTAGTGGGGACAAATCGTGGATCCATTCATCTTTTCTCCATTAGCCCCAACAAACCTCCCCGTGAATTAGCACAAGTTTGTGCTTTACCATCTGTGCGTAGTTCGGTGTTAATAATAGCAAAATCTAATGGTAAAGATGTTTCTTAGTTTTTAAAAGTAGTTTTGGGCTTCTTTTTTGTCAGGTGTGAGTCCATTGTGTTTTGTCAAAAAAATCCTTATTTCAGATTCAAACAATGCAGGAGACTATGAAAATGGAAGGAATTTGAATTATCTGAACGGCCAGGCGGAGAACCGTCTCGCCGGGCGTCCGCCAACGACTCCGCCAGGTAAGTGCCGGATCAATTATTTAACGCCCGTTGCAGGTTCCCTCTGAAACTCTTACACCTCTTCTTCAGGAGGTCTAGGCGAAAGCTGTGAGGCGGGCTGCGTCATACTCAGCGCGCTCCTGGTTGACGCCGAGCCGCAGGACACCCCGGAGACTGTGGAGCCCTCGGAGCTCCCGCATCCGGACGAGGAGGACCGCGCGGTTGCCGAGATCCTGGCGCCGGCGCCGCTGCTCGTCGTCTGCACCAACCTGGGCCTGACCGTGTACGACTGTCACTCGTGGGAGTCCGTGGCCTCCAGCTCCTTCTCGGGTGAGTCTCGGTCCTGCCATCCTGGTCTAGGCGCGAGGGAACTCGTCCCTACAACGACTGTTTCCCGAGGCCCGCTCGTCTCTGCCAGCTTCACGGAGCTTTGTCAGCTCTAGCCGCAGAGCCCCCTAGGCGCTTACAAGGCGGGCCGCCGGCCCAACACAGGTGCGTGGCGGGTTGGCCTACCCACCGCGTTGCAGGCGCTAGCGCGTGGTGAGGCCTTACCCTGAGAACTACGCGTTTTGTTCCGATAAATCTCGCATTCTGTGAGCAATGAAGAAATCCTAACTTTTTCCATCCAAGGGCCGATCACATAAACGCCCTCCTCGCGGCCTCCCAACTTTAAAGCGACCGCCCGTAGAACGTGCCACGCATTGTGGGGACACGGGGCTCCTGGAGAGGGCGGGACGTTGATCTTACCTGTCTTGTCAGATTTGCTGGACGAGGACTTCTCGCTCGTGTCCGTGACCTCACTGGCGGGCCGCACTCCGGACCAAGTCCGCTGCCTGCTGTGCTCCGGCCCCAGCGTCTACCTCATCCGTGCGCATCGCGCGCCCGGACCGGCAGCCGTCAGCCGCGAGCTGAGCTTCCTCGCGACGTAAGTGTCTCGCTGTCCCCGTCAGCGCCAAGGAGACCGACAACCCAACCCACGGGCGTCCTCGACTCTGCCGCAGGTCCGCGGTCGGTGCCCGGTCGCCGCTTCGTGCGCAGTTCTCAAAGCCGGCCGTGGACGCGGCCACGGCGGCCTACGGGGCGTCCTCGCGGACCACTCGCAAGGGCGCCGTTGGCACACCCGCGGCCCCGCGGCCCGTCAAGTCCTCGGGCTACGGCGTGGTCAGCGACGCGCGGCAGCGCTTCATGCCCGTCATCAACCGCCCCCGGCGCCCGCCCGCCGCGACCTGCGCGACCAGGGGCGCCGGGTGCGGCAGCCGCGGACTCCTGTCCAAGATTGACGGCGACCTGATGCGGACGTGGACACCG